CGCCACGAATTTTCGCCAGTGGGGGCAAGCTTGAGACTGACCCGACTGTAGTCTGATAACGCCGATCTGCAAAATCCATGAGCACCTTGTCCCTAGATGTTGTCATTCAAAATTATTTTGGTTTCAGGTTTCATGCATAGGCGTATTGAGTTTAACCATTAACCCTCGCGGGCCCGGAAGGGGAGGGGGGCGTTTTTCGCCTCCCCTGGTGAATATTTGTGATACCTCACGAACGCTTAGGGATAGAAAGACGAAACTTGCTGTACCTTATCCCCCATTAATTTGACATCTTTTGAAGCAAAAAAATTGGAGCTAGCCTCCTTGATAACGTCTCAGGGCCGATTTTTCTAGACTCCTGCACGGCAAACTTCGGCGTCACAGACGTGAACTTCAACCAGCTGCCAAAAATTGAGTTTTAGAGATAAAGACAAATTACGAGCACGGTTGCGTAGCATTTGACCTAGAAAAAAATACTTAAATAACTTTGGTGACCTGAGGTCAGAGGTCAGGGCAACGACCCCGAGCTGGGGCTTTAGTTTCTTTTTTCGCAAATAACTTCAACAAAAATGGTCCTGGAGCTACGGCAGTGGTACTATTGAGCGCAGAATCCGCGCTCATACCGGGACCGAGGCTGGGCCACGGCGGGGCAGGCCTGGTGTGTCAGAGAGTGTACCGATTAGTGTGATGCGGCACAGTATCCTTTGAGAGTCACGGAATGACATGACCTGGCTGTTTCTGTTCCGAGTGGGGCGGAAAGCCGGGGAAGGAGAGCCGCAGTATGCGGCCGCAGCCCGCGTGGAGTGTGTGCGGCTAGACGTCAACGTGAGCGTGATGGCACACCTCAGTGATCTTGACAAGGGCAGGCTCATCCTGCTTTTCGTTCAAGGTCACTCTGTCAAGCAGGCGGCAGAGATTCTCGGTGTAGCTCTAACTACTGCCAGACGGTGGAAACACCGTTATGAGCAGGAAGGGGAAAAGGGTTTGAAAGCGCGCTATGATAAGTGTGGAAGAAAACGGAAGACGACGGAGGAGGAAGACAGGCGCTTGGTGGAGGTTCGTACTTTTCTTTTATTATTTGTTGTTGTTGTCTCTGCATTTCTAGGTCAAGACGAGCGTGCAAGACGGGCTTGTGCAAAGCACCCTTCTAACCGGTCGCTAGCCGTGTGCCAAATTTGAACGCAATCGGCGCAGCCGTTCCTTAGATCTGGAAGCGGCATTCTGCACGTGCGCACGTGCAACCGGGGTCCAAACTTACTTTTGCACGGCACCCTACTAACCGGTCCCCAACCGTGTACCAAATTTGAGCGTAATCGGCCCAGCCGTTCTCGAGATCTGGGAGCGCCCCCTGCACGTGCGCACGTGCGGTATCACCCTAACCGCAACACATGGGAATGCATTGCCTGGTGGGTGCCTACCTGTATGCCAAGTTTCAGCGAAACCGCCCCAGTAATTACCGAGTTATTGAAATGGGAACAAATGTGGCACCTCTTCTTTTTGTATTTTGCACGTGCAGATCAAGAGCATCCGACCTTTGGTAGAAGGGATGCAGCTACCCTACAAAAAGTACCGCAAGACAATCGCCCAAGCGGCTGCTGAGATATGAGCCTCTCAAAATCACTGCTTTTGCAAAACAACTTGAACACCCCTGACTATTCACGTGGCACGTGCCACGACGGTCACTGAGATGTATCAAAAGTAGTCAATTACGGGGTAGAAGGGATGGGGCTACCCAGCAAAAAAGACCGCAGGCCAATCGGTCCAGCGGTTGCTGAAATATATTCGCTTCGCTCGCTGCGCTCGCTCGCTCGTAATTATGCCCGCAAACTCAAAACCCGCATGCGAGGTCCAGTGTGGGGCGGCCTTAAGTTGTGGTATGGTTTAGCTAGGTGCCGGTGACCTGATGGCATTATTTAAAAAAAAATCTTGAGATGCTGTTTATTTATTTATCTGTTTATTCATTTTCACCCCAACAGCAATGCATCCCAATTAGAGGAGGCGAGGCCTACGGCTATGTGCGAAAGGCCGCTTTGCCCCTGATCGCCTCGTCCCCGCCTGTAATAAACTTATCGAGATAACTTAAACAATTATTTAAAAAGTTCTGAAGATGCCTTACAAAATTGCTCAGTAATGATCAAGCAATTTCCAACAGGTGTTATTCGTTGCACCATACAGCTTCATAGTCATGACCGATATGTCAACCTATATCACGTTACAGTGAGTAACAAACATGGTTTTGTTCGCAGGTTCGTGCCATCCCCTGGCCCTCAATGAGCTCAGACCTGAACCCTATCGAAAATGTGTGGTCTCTAATGGTTCATGAGCTGGGGGAGGAGCTGCGCCAGCTGGCCCGGCAGCTCAACCAGGACGAGCTCTAGGCCGCCGTCTTGGCGAAATAGGAGGAGCTCCGCCGCCGCCCCGGCTACTTCCGGAGCCTGGTGGCCTCGATGAGGCAGCGGCTGGAGCAGTGCTCCGAGGCAGCGGGCGGCCACACCTCCTACTAAACCGTTCTGTTTGTTTGTCATCTTATGTTAAAGAACAGTGTTTTGTTTATAAATTTTACTTATGTTGATTATTTGAATTGGACTCATTTATTTACTTATGTTACCTACATGTGATTAGTGTGCAAGATATATATTAGTACAAATGTGACTTGTGACTCAGTGACAAGAGGCTGATGCCTGATTTTTTTCGTGATGTGATATTCAGGGGACTTGAAACGTATGAACTATTAGTGCGAGCTAGGAGTGCTATGATCAGCAGCACTTATATATAGCATCGCTGGATTATGTGCAGTGAGAATAGACCTGATTACTCAACCTTTTACCCGACAAACCCCAGGACTTCACTTGAAGAAATATATAGCTGACACTCCTGGCATGTCTTGTTTTATTATTTGAAAAACTGTTAAGCTTCGTTTTTAGACGTAGGTGCTACTAGCATGCAGTCATTCCTCTATTGCAGTCATTTCCTCTAACAATGAATTAGTCAACTCTAATTCATTGACAGCGAGAGTTTTATCAGCACTCAGGGCTTCGACAAATTTTGAATGACTCCGACTACTAATAAAACTGTTCACTCCGACCGACTACGGTTCCGGCTTCGACATCTTTTGCATTGATGATTCCTAAAACGGTTGTGCAAAAGATGAAAAGGAAGATTGGTGCACTATGTAATATTTATTTTAATTGTTGTCCGTGGAAAGGGTCGTACCCTCCTGAGGTTTTTCACGAATAGCGAAAAAGGCGGCACTACGTGCCGCCAGCTTTCCGGCTACCTTATGGACCATCCTTTGCGCAACTTTTGGCGAAAAAATGGCCGGGTCAGGTCAGGTAACAGAGCTATGACGTCACAAAGGTAACAAGGTCAGGCCGATTTTGCACGAAATCGTAGTTTTTCGTGCTTTTAACGATGATATCGGTTACACTTTGGCATTGTTTGGGTCAAAAGTGACTGACATGGCACTGACACACCCTCCATTGACCTATGTAGGGTCAAGGTCAGGTCAGGTCTAGTTCAGGTTAGTGACCTCTGGTGACCTCTTGAAGTTTGACTTTCCGGCGGTAATTTTTGGCCCTGAATTCGAATCTGACGGCCAAATAAAGCTCGGGCACTTGGTTTATTGACCGTCTCAGGGCCAAGGAGAAGTCGCCGACAGGTTAGATCACATTTCCGACCCCAACTGTCAGACGGCATTTTCGACCACCCGGGGCGCGAACGCGACCCCGCCGGCTTCCGGGCGCTTTGCTCCGGAAGTTATCGCGTAAAATGTGACAAACTATACACCAAAATGCACCAAATTCATCAAGAAATACGATAGTGAAAATTCCATGACGATATCTGCCATAGCGGCGACGCTACAGGCGCGCAAAGTTAAAAATGCCGATTTTCCCGAGCTTTGATTTTTAACCTGCCAAACCTAGGTCAAATATTGACCTATGGTCAAAAGTAATATGCGCAATCGCGAGCTCTCGTCGAGAGCAATACGCTGTTTTTCCGCTAAGCTCTACGACGACGCGTTTCGAAACGGCAGAAGGGGTCGTATCCCCCCCCCCCTCCACTGGAAATGATGGCGAAATGCCGTCCACGGGCGAGGGCTAAATTTTTAAATTGCAAAGTTCTTAAAGGTAGTGTGCCAGCTTTCCTGGACCGTATGGAGTTAATGGCCCAGATAAGGAGAACCGGATTTTTAGAACTTATCCATACCTTCAAAAGTCATGGAAACGTCTTAAATTCTTCAAATTTTGAGTACCCCAGTGCGAAATTCGCCCCGACGGGTTGTCGGTCGTACCCCAACCACATTTCACACCACTATGAACAATAAATGCACACACTGAAATCGCTATTACCGATAGGCTCATCCAATCAAGTTTCGATAAACCCGTTCATCATCATCTCCTGCGTTTTTGAACACGCCTGTTAGGTGGTGCGGTAGACCGCACCCAAAGCCAGGGCCCCGGTAACGTGAGGTAGCCGAGTCAGGGCAGCGTGCATTGACCCAAGCCGGGACCGCGCGTCCTCCCGGTGTCATGTGATAGCCCGGGGCTGCCCGGGGATGCGGTAGACCGCGGCCCAAAGCCGCGGCCCCGGCTTGGGTCAGCGCACGCTGCCCCGACTCGGCTACCTCACGTTACCGGGGCCCTGGCTTTGGGCGCTTCTGCTCATACTTTGTGGTGCGGTGGTGGTGCGTCGGGCCGCGCGCTCTGACTTCGGCCAAGAAAAATGCGTCAGCTGATCATTGTCATTTCTGCCATTTTCATGTGGTGAGATGGGGTCATAACTTTAGAGACGGCTGTTTCATATCAGTTATTTTACATAAAATAATATTTCAAACCATAAATTAATGTTCGACAGCCAAATTAAAGAAACAATACCAATACAGGCTTACAGTTTAAATTCGACATTGTGTTGACTACGATTAGACAGCTGATAACTCATTCCCGTACGTCGTAACTCTATAATGACCTTTGCTTATTGCTTATTGTCACATGTGCGCCGCCTTCGCGATTGTTGCCGACGCCTGTTTGCAGGTCAGCCCACTACAGTTGTTATACATATCGAAAAACCGATAAACTTTTAGGCGAAAAAACACTATTTTAGGCCCATTTTTGATTTTTTTGCGATATCAGGTAAAAACAGAAGCTTCTTATCCTAGGAAAAATAAAATGGGAAATCATTGGAAGGTGGCACACTACCTTTAAGCGCCGATTCGGGCAACTTTCATAACGGTAATACCGAGGGGCACGCATTCGTGACGCATGCCCAATAAATGTAAATTGTTATGTCACATTGACGTTATGTTACCATATAGTTTGGAGAAACAAAAAGTCTAGTTCGCTTTTGTAGTGTATTTTTTGCCATTACAGTTTACTTAAAGTATTGAGGATAAGGGCAAATGACTCATACAGTATTAACAAAGTCTAGTTCAGACAGAATGGCGGTGGCCATAGGAAAGTTGTGGCATTTTCGCTTATAGTTCGGCTCAGACTTCCGGTGAGATTTGTGCTTCCGGTACTTATTTGATAGGAACGGATTTTTTTTTTTTTACTAAGGTGAGATGAGCATTTTTGAGAAACATGGCAAACTTCCATTTATAGTTAATAAAAAGTGTGCTCATGGTCTGGAAGAGCAAGGTTAAGAGCAAGGAGCAAGGCCAAAAACATCAGGAGTTTTTCTATAAAACGTTGCGGTGAGAGCAAAGAGGGCGCGGAATTTAAGGACGATCCGAAACTACGTAACGGCACACCTTAAAACACAGAAGCCTCTTTAATCGCATTCCTACAGAAAGGGGTCTTTCCCCGGCTGGTCGGCCATACCTATTACAGTAATACACCGTTTCGCCATGTCTGTGGCCTGCCTGTGTAGGGGAACAGCTATCTGCTGACACCGCCCGGGCCCGCTCCCCGCAAACAGCCACCGTGATCAGTGGACTTCAAGCAAGCCCAAAACTTTGCTGGAGAAATAATCCCAATATACACAGTACACACTGCCGCACTAACTCCGCGCGGGCTGCGACTGCATGAATCGCTCCCCTTCCCCGGCCTCCCTCCCCCACTCGGGGGGAGGGAGGCCGGGGCGGCTGCCTTCCGTGCGGCGGCTGACCCAAGTTCACCAGACAGCAGCCGCCTGGATGGGATACTGTTCCGCAGCGCACTATCGGTACACTCTCTGATACACCAGACCTGTCCCGCTTCGGTCCCGGTATGAGCGCGGATTCTGCGCTCAATAGTACATTCGCATTAGTCTTGTCGAGACGCGTCGAATGACATATATATTGTTTGGAAAAGGTCAAGTTTTATGTTGACCTCATGTAACCTCGAATGACATTTGGTTGATTTTTTACACATGGAAGGTCATTTGTGATGATTTCGTAGCCGCTGATCAAGATTCTGGGCCTCTGGCATCCATTTTGCTGTAAGCATTCATTTAGAGCCTCAGTATGGCAAAACATGTCTTAATTATTATGCCTGACTTGAATAGTGAAAGAGCCTCTAGCAAGGATACTCTCTTGTGACTTTGACCTTGTAGCAGCCTTGTATCGTAAGCTGAAGCACAAATAGGGGTCCGCTAAGCTTGACAACGTATCAAAACATCTCGGAATTTAGTATACAAGGTATAAGAAAAAGTGCAAAGTTTGTGGTCAATTTTGAGCATGACCGTGCCCTTGAATTTGAATGACCTTGACCTTGAATTGAATGAAGAATAAGCTCCATTATGGCGACCCACATACATTTCCAGATCACCCGGATATACATACCTATCACATTTTGTCATACCTCTCTGAGCTCAGTCTCAGTCTAAGGGTTCCCAAAAGAGGGTGATCTCTTCTCTGGCCGACTTTTGATAAACTACTTCTCAACCTCCTCGAGATCAAGCTCGAGGGCAGCCTTTTGGTGAATGAAAATGAGTAGGAGAATGAGTGGGAGTAGGAGATATGCGACAGACGGTCCGAGAACGAACGTTCTGCTGACGCACTTGATGCGAGGACCGTCAAAAACAGGCGTACTATTATAACCGCCTATAATGAATGTTGCACCGGTCTTCTGTTCCCACATATCAGCCAAATTTTGTGGGGGCAAAAACATAGTCTTGCCCCCACGGCTTCCTGCCAGTGGGGGCAGTCTGCCCCCACTGCCCCCACGGTGGCGCCGCCCTTGCATATGCATGTACATAGGTAAGTGCAAACCTACATCTAGAAGATAAACATTCCCCGTGCAGCCTTTACAAAGTTTCCCCGTTTCACCAAAACATCGCCGAAGAATTTCTGAGAGATTGCAATGCAGTTAATAGCAGACAACGCTCGCCTAAACACCTACCTATACATCATTAGAAGTTAAGCAATTGTTCGCATACCAAACACTCCAAACATTGGGGTACAGGTAAGCATGACACATTAACTCGGCAAAGTGCACTCGTGACCCATATTTATTCCTGTTGAGGTCACCTCAGGTCATGAAAGGTTTCACCTAGCCGCTAGCTTTTGTTAGAGACGTACTAGAGCGATGACAACACCTCTGTTGTGTTGAGCTCAATGATACGGATCGACTGAAATGCAATATTATCTTTTCTGGTCAGGTCATGGCCTTGAAAATAAGTCAAATATTCAAAATGACATTTTAAGGTCAAATGCTAGTTCCTTCGACGGCGACGCCTTAGTGAAAGGAACACGATGCCGGTAAAGTCTAAAGCGTGTCAAACTTTATCTGCTCGCTAAAAACGTATCTGCTCGTTAACATGGCACGAGTGCCTATTTATAGTGGGTACCTGAATAGCGAGTCATTGGCATATTTTTGGGGGGATAACACGAAATAAAGCTAAAGACGCTGCATTTTCCAAAATTAGCCAGCTGCTCATATTCATTATCATGTTGAGGCAGTTTTCACATGTTCTTATCGTTATGTGAAAGCTAGCTCGCAACTGTAAGCTGGGCTGAGGTGAAAATGGCGCAAGCACGTGTCGTCGCCATCGGACCACACTGCATCGCGTGGATCAACTACGGACGGCGCGGGTCAAACCATGTCAGCGGACTGGATCGGAGGCAACAGCTGGAAATCTCTGAACCCATTCTGACACGAGGAATGGAGTAAGGCGTAAGCTGCACCAGCCAGTTCTGAAGAAACCGGCACGATTTCGAACTCTCCACTATGTTATTGTTTAATCCTCTTCGTAAAAGGAAGACATAGGTACCTATAGCAAATGAATGTTGTTTAAGCTTGTTCACTATGCGTCTAAGTTGGGCGTAAAAGGAGCCAGAGATTGGATGAATAACGGAGGAACTTCAGTGCTGGTCGATAGCAGCTATTGGCGGTATTCGACCCCACGTTTATGTAGATATAATATTCTCTTTTTCAAAGGCTCGTACTTAGAAAGCCCTTTAGGAATGGAATATAACCATAGTCATAAGTTGGGTTACTGATATCTATATTATGAACCAGTAAAACGCCTTTTGGGCGAAGAACGAGCGAGCGAGATAGTGAGCCCGGCACGTGCGGAAGGGCGAGAGGGTACTTCCAACGGGCTTGTGCAAAACACCCTTCTAACCGGTCGCTAGCGGTGTGCCAAATTTGAACGCAATCGGCCCAGCCGTTCCTGAGATCTGGAAGCGGCATTCTGCACGTGCGCACGTGCAAACGGGGTCCAAAATGACTTTTGCACGGCACCCTACTAACCGGTCCCCAGCCGTGTACCAAATTTGAGCGCAATCGGCCCAGCCGTTCTCGAGATCTGGAAACGCCCCCTGCACGTGCGCACGTGCAGTAGCACCCTAACCGCAACACATGGGAATGCATTGCCTGGTGGGTGCCTACCTGTATGCCAAGTTTCAGCGAAATCGCCCCAGTAATTACCGAGTTACTGAAATGGGAACAAATTTGGCACCTCTTATTGTTGTATTTTGCACGTGCACTGGGGGTGACCCACATGCATCGAGAGTATCCTATTTTGGGTAGAAGGGATGCTGCTACCCTACAAAATTTACCGCAAGTCAATCGCCAAAGCGGCTGCTGAGATATGTGCCTCTCAAAATCACTACTTTTGCAAAACAGCTTGAACACCCTTGACTTTTCACGTGGCACGTGCCACGACGGTCACTGAGATGTATCAAAAGTAGTCAATTACGGGGTAGAAGGGATGGGGCTACCCAACAAAAAATACCGCAGGCCAATCGGGCCAGCGGTTGCTGAGATATAAGCCTCTCAAAAGCGTTACAGGCCGGGCCGGGCCGGGCCGGGCCGGGCCGGGCCGGGCCGGGCCGCTCATACTGAGATTTTTCCGTTATATTGAAAAGACTCACTTCGCTCGCTGCGCTCGCTCGCTCGTAATTATAACATGTCTGTGCGTGCGTGATCCGTCATGACTTATGTGTCTTATTGCGCCTGAAAGGCGCCGCGTATCGGCGTGAAATTTGGCATGCCAAATCTGTGGGCGTGGGCGGCCTTTGTATTAAAATTTGGGCGTGATCGGCCCAGGGGTGCGCCGTCCGCACGCGCTCGCGTGCGCCATAGGGTTAACACGGGAAACGGTCAAATCGAAGATCGGGCGAAAACCGGCCTGCGGCGCCCACTTCCCGGGCCCAAAACTCGGTGACAGATTGCCGTAGCGAGGTGGGGTTTCCACCACTGGATAGAGGAGAGATGGGCCTAGCGTATTGATATGGTTTCATAGTATAGCACGCGCCACGTGCAAGACAGCACCCCCGGTTGTCAAAAAATGACCGATTTCGTGCATTGTGACGGGAAAATCGATGCCGCTGGAAAACGGCTTGACGGAATGAAATCGGTGTTGTATCATTTTGCAGACAAATCAGTGGCGGCGGAAGCAGGGGGGCAAGGGGGGCAGCTGCACCCTAAAGCTATGGAAAGGGGCGCCTCGAAAATCTGTAGAGGAGGCAGGAAGTTAAGAGGTGCGGCAGCCATAAAGCTGAGCAGTGCGACACCGCAACTGATAAAGGCACTTGTGACACGAAGAGGGTGGCAATGACGTGGGAAAAGTATCTTTTGATATGCTGAAGAGTGGAGGGCATCCTTATCTG